TGAATGAAAACAAATATATATATGGGCCGGCCCAGTGGCACACTCAGTAGAGTGTGGCGGCGCTCCCGCCAAGGGTTCGGATCCCATATAGAGACTGGTCTGCTCACTGGTTGAGCGCGGTGTGGGCGCGACACCGAGGGTTGCGATCCCATTACCGGTCACGAAAAAAGACAAAAAGGGGAAAAATATATATATAACATGATCCCGATGTGTAAAATATTTATACATAGACAAAGAACTTGAAAGAAATACACCAAATATTAATATATTAGTAGCAAATATCTCTAGGTGGTGAGATTACAGGTGATTTTAAATTTCTTATACATAGTTAACTATACCATATTTACCAAATATACTACAATAAATGTATTTCACTTTCATTTGCCCCATTTTTTCTATGGTTCTTTTTTATTCTTGCCTTTTATTGTAGTGAATGACTTCCCCAACCCCTTTCCGTCCCCTCCCTCTAATTTCTTGGAAGTGATTTCCTCTCTTTCTGCTCTTTTCTTGTGACCCTTGAATTTGTATCGTGCATACTTAACAAAGTCTGAAATTGATCCTTGTCTTGGCCACCTTCCAAACAGTATAAAGACTTGAGAATACGAACTCCGGCACCCCCTTCCCAACCTACATACCGGCAGTTTGGGCAAAGTTAGTTCTGTCTCTATTTTTATCCCCACAAAGTGGCTATTCTTAGTATTTTATACAGACTACTTTTGTTTATATTTACCTACATGTTTACCAATTGCATTGCCCGCCCTTTCTTCTTACATTCAGACAGTTTTTCTGAGGTCATTTTTCTTCTTCCTGGTATACATCCTTAGAAGTTCCTTTTGTGAAGGTTTATTAGCACAAAATGCTCAGTTTCTGTTTATCCAAAAATATCTTAATTTTACCCTAGTTCTTAAAAAATTGGTCTTGCCGGGCACACCTGGCTGATGGCTATGTTCTCTGCACTTAGAAGGCATCCACTGCCAGGTTCTTTCTTGCCTTCTAGAGGTGTGCTGCCAGTTGAATTGTCATTCTTTTATAGGGGTCTTCTCTTTTCTCCCTGGATGCTGTTATGATCTTCTCTTTGTCTTTGGTGCTCTGTGGTTTTACTGAATAGCAGAGATGCTAGTTTTCCCCCAATATTAATTTCCCCTTCTGTAAAAGCAAAAGTTTCAGCTGTGCATACAGAAACCCAACTAAAAACTTATTTCCTAGCCTCCTTTGCAGCTAGATGTGGCCATGAGAGCCAGTGGGATGTGACTGGAATTAATGTGTGCAACTCTTGGGAGTGCCCTTAAAAACAAAGGAGCACCTGCCACGCCCCCAGTCCTTCCCTACAGCTGGAATGAGGATGTGGTGGTGGGAGCTGGAGCAGCCGTCTTAGAGTCTGAGATGGAAGCTCATTGAGGATGGCAGAACCAACCCATGAGAAGGTCCCCAGGTCCCCATACCCTGGAGCCACCACATCCTCTCTGGCCTGCTTTGTGCTTTGGCTGTATGGTAAGAGAGAAGTAAACTCCTATTTGTTTAAATCATTGTTGTTTTGGTCTTTGACATCTGAACATGTATTGTACCTGATATCCATTAGTAGGTATGTAGGCATGGATTTCTCTTCATTTATCTTTCATGGGGTAAGGTTGTGCTTCCTGCATCCGTGGA